AGAGGAGCCTAGGCGGCCGACGCGTACGCGACCCGAGACGATCACCGAATGCGACTCCACACTCCAGTGAGCGACGCTGGCCGAATCTTTTCAAGGACAGACTCGTTCTCAACCTCGAGCGGCCGTACCAGTGATCAGTTTTGCAGGAGGGTAGCTTTCCCGCCAGCAGAGGGCTCGCGAGCCAGCCTCCGGCCGGCTTCCGAATTTTGACGATTTGCTCGCACCTTATCTGTTCTGTGATCACACCATAAACAATGTTGCCAGATTTTTCGAATAATCTTGTGGGGTCTCTCTCGAAGTTAACGACTTATGTGCTTTATGCAAACACAAATCCTCAATTATTCTATAATTTCTTTCCTGCCGTTCAAGTCTTCCTTTTAAGTTACTCCTGTTAGGTAACTAATCCAAATCAAAATGTACTTACCTCCCTTCTCTTGCTCATTAGATGTCACACTGTTTTTTCAAACTTACATCTCATTCAAAATAATTGAATTTGATCGAAGACGTGTACACACTTTGTTATCGTTGTTGGAGGTTTCTCAAAAAATAAATTAATTTATGATAAAGTACCGACCCGCGGCACTTTTTTCTGCTGAGAGAGGAAACCTCAGTACATCTCCTCGGTACATTAATTATTAGTCGAATGCATCATGAGAATTTTTTCATTATTTTGTTTGACATTTTTAGATAATTTAGATCTGATAGCGAAGAAAATTCTCTGAAAAACGGAAGGAGAAATTTTCACAGATTTCTCTGAAAATTCGTATTTCATCAAGGAAAATTTGATAACGTCGAAAGCCTCTGGTAAATCCTGATTCCAATCTTGAATCGGTATTCGCTCAAAATCAGCCTCCTCATTTTTCAACGAGTCAAAAGGATAATCATTTTCGACTGCAGGCTGAACTTAATTATAGGAGCATCTCAAAACTCTGAAAGTAAGGCACACATATTCCGAGTTGTTCGGGGGAGTGTCGGCCTAGCTCGAGGTTTTAGGGATGATAATTATTTTTCTGAGCCCCTCCCCCGGAAAATTTTGAAAATCCATTATTATGTATGGTGTAATTTTAAGATAATTTCCTCAACTATAAACATTGAATTCATTGTAACGATAAAAGAGCATTCTTCCAATTTTCCTGTAATCAATATTATTAACTTTTTTAACATTTTTAATTCTTTTTCAGTAATGAAAAGTGAAAACACTAAGAATGTGAGGATTTGCAGGAATCACATGAATGAAGGAAAAAGTATAGTTATATACAGGGTGGCCCAGACTTACCGTACCAGGCATTTTTTTCGGTTAATATGGGTCGCACGAAGTCCAAGATCGCGGGGATGAATAGGGAATCGATCCCAAGGAATCCGAATTTCATGGTCTCAGAGCCCCCCTGGCGCCCCTTGGGGGGTAAGGGGGGGGGTCCGTACTTCAAAAGTCAGGGTTTATGTCAACATTTTGAAACTATTTCATCAGAATCAGAACGTACGGAAATTTTTAACTTAAGTCGACACCAAGAAATCCAAAATCGGCCCATCCGTTTCCAAAATACCGACCCCTAAAGAAGGGGGACAGAGCCCCCTTTCAAAAAAATTCAAGTTCGTAAAATTGACGTGGAGACTCGGAAAAAATGTGTATTCATGGGTAATCGATCCCAAGGAGTCCAAATTTGAGGGTCCCGTTGTCCTCAGAGACTTTTCTGATGGGGCACAGGGGGACTCTTCTGAACTTTTAAATTTGACCAGTGTGGAGGTTACCCCAGTGCCCCATCAGAAAAGTCTCTGAGGACAACGGGACCCTCAAATTTGGATTCGTTGAGGTCGATTACCCATGAATACACATTTTTTCCGAGTCTCCACGTCAATTTTACGAACTTGAATTTTTTTGAAAGGGGGCTCTGTCCCCCACCTTTAGGGGTCGGTATTTTGGAAACGGATGGGCCGATTTTGGATTTCTTGGTGTCGATTTAAGTTAAAAATTTCCGTACGTTCTGATTCCGATGAAATAATTTCAAAATGNTTATCCCCCAAGGGGGTCCAGGGGGGCTCTGGGACCATGAAATTCGGATTCCTTGGGGGTCGATTCCCTATTCATCCCCGCGATCCTGGACTTCGTGCGATCCAAATTAACCGAAAAAAAGGCCTGGTACGGTAGGTCTGGGCCACCCTGTATTAATGTTAATATACCTGAGTTTTACAATTCTAGTAAAAAAGGGAAGGAGCACTCCCCCTCAACGCAAATATTCCATGAAACACTATATTCTTTTCAGACTCAAAAAATTTCTTGGATCCATGCGCTGGCACTGACTGGCACTGACTGGCATGAACTGCCTCCGTTCCGTCTCAATTGGACTGCATTTTGCAATTTGGAACTATAAATTCTGGCTCATCTAAAAAAACACTTATGTGCGTAGGGAAACTAATGGCACATTCGTTGTTTTTACACCGGGCCAGAATCCATAGTTCCAAATTGCAAAGTGCAGTCCAATTGACCTGTGACAGCCTGTAAGAGGGGGGGATCGCATAACGCCGCCCGCACGCTTTTACACCAGGAATCGCCGAACATAATGTACTCTCATTTTCAAGGTTGCGGAAGGTTGCAGTAAAACTAAAGATAGGTATATCACATCTGGATAGTTTTCTGAACACTCTCATAAGTTTCATGCCGTTCCGTATGGTTCGTTCGTCACTTTTGCGGCTCTACTAAAGCCAGGAAAAGTAAACGGTCTTGTGCACTGCAGGTGATTCGATGGACGCCATATTTTGTGTCAGAACGGCATGCGATATATCGCATCAAACGGTTCCATTTTTTCAGCTACTCGTCATTTTTTTCCAATTTTGAGATCAAAATTCTGTTGTCTGGAGACTAAAGCACTCGCTTACCCATGTTAACCAAGAAATTCAACGTAATAAAGGCGTGGTTTTTTCGGAGAGAAAATATCGCATTCAAGTATGCAGTTTCGATATCATTATCGAATGCGATGATTTCTCTCTAAAAAAAACCACGCCTTTATTACGTTGAATTTCTTTGTTAAAATTGGTTAGTGAGTGATTTAGTCTCCTGACAACGGAATTGCGATCTCAAAATTGCAGGAAAATGAGGAGTAGCTGAAAAAATTGAACAAATTGATGCGATATATCGCATCGCATGCCGTTCTGACACAAAATATGGCGTCCATCGAATCTCCTTAGATAATGATTTTGGAGAAATCGACGGTCATATTTCCTTTCTCTGGCCTTTGACATCTTGTTTCATCCAGAAATGACACTTTTTCGCCACGAAGTACTCTAAAAAAAAAGTAATACAGTGGCACCACTCCTGAATCTTGATGGCGAGATTGAGGTGGGACGTTTACCGGCCGCAATCCCTATCATTTTAGAGACCAAAATATTTATTTTGGTGATAACCACGATAGATACGTAACGAGTGGGTGCCTGTGGACCCACTCTGACCATAAATAACACCATTTGTCGACTTGATATAAGGGGGTTTTGAGCAGATAGATTGGGGTTTTGACACACTGTGCGGCGCGGCGCACAGGTTCTTCACGCTTGTATTAGTTTGCTCAGTTTAGAATAACGCGTATTTCTTACGTAGATCGTGAAGTTCGGAGGGTCTTTCAAACTTTCCCGATGCGCTCATCGTGATTTTTGAGTAATTTGCTATCTGAACCAACTCTTCTTTTTACTCTATCTGAATAGTTTGCAACAGGCCCATTAGAAACTATCATTTCTGGATCATCCGTGAAAAGACGCACTGGAAAAAAAAGTCGCCTGGATCTAGAGTTCAGACTCTTTAAAACATTGACAAGAAAAAATACTCTTGATTCGATCGGATTTTTGCTCAAATCAAGAACCAAGTCGCTTAATCTAAGCGGATTTCCTTTTGATTCAAGCAAAAATCCGATTGAATCAAGAATATTTTTTCTTGTCATCGTTCGCAAGAGTCTGGACTCTAAATCCAAGCTACGTTTTTTTTTTTACCAGTGCGCATGTGTGTGGAAAACCAGTGTTTCATGTGTTGCTTCTAATCCTATAGCCGGAATTTTTAGGGCCTAATTGTAAAATGTAGCCCAAATAGAAGAGGCCCTATGAAAAAAATGGAGCCTGAAGATAGCGAAGGCTTCTGCCAACCAATTTACATGGGTACAATTGGATTAACTAACAATAAGTGATTAGATTGAACTGAACTTTCGGAAGGATGATAATCATTGAAAGTGGAGCGAAATTTTTGATTTTACCTTAAAATGTGTATTAACTATAAGTAAGCATCGAATAAAAAGATTCGAGAGAAAACCCCTAAAGTCCCTATTTGCATGTTTTATTTCATAGAAAAATGAAACCATTTCATTAATTTACAATTGCTCATGATTCGAAAAAAACACGTACCACGCTTCATAAACTTTGATAAAGCCAAGAGACGGTAACCTATTGGCAAAAATCATTCATTTGAAGTTCGCCCTCAATTTCGCCGTATGCGCAACAAATATATTAAGGAGCGCGATGTAAGAATATATTTGACAAAATACATATTACATCGAATGTCCATCAGTCTTAATAGTAATCAGTCCGATTGACCGATCAGCAATTATTACTGGGAATCCGCAATTGCAATTGCCCGATTTGAACTCAGGTTGAATGTTCGTAGAATGTCAGCTATCGTAAAGCACTTATGATTCGCCTGGCTTTCAAGAGGTTCAACAAATTCAGCTCGCTTTATTACGTATCATCAAGAAATCATTTAAATTAATGGAATATACCCACAGGAACATCAATTAAGATACGATGTCTTAGTCCATGGGCATGCGTTAAAAGAACGGCCCCGCGTGAGGAAAGCTCACTGAAATAAGGTTTATGCAAATCCAGGTGATTTTCTTTCAAGAACAGTAGGTATTAAATGTTAGTCATAGTCTCACCAATAAATCAACCGAAACTTTATGGGTCTTATCTTTAGTTGATATCCAGCAAGATTAAGCTACCATTGTTTGTTTATCCGTGTATCAGTTGCACTTTGGTGTTAAAGTATTCAAATCGATACAAGCTTTGAACACTCACGATCAACACGTTGTCCAGCACCCCTGTAGATTTTTATTTTGTTTTAATTGTGAATATTCCTGAGACTCAAAGGTAAGTTATCCTTTCATTGACAGAACAGCATGCTAAATCAGGATGTCGAAAATTTTTCAAAATTACAACATCCTGACATTGTCCTGATTTCCCCGACAAAAACGGCCAAAAAACCGGAGAACAATTTTAAATTCCCTGACAGATGGAATAAATAATTCTCTGACATTTTCCTGACAAAAAAGAAAAATATTCCTAATTTCTCGTAACGATTGAACTGCTAAGATAAAAGTAGGTAACAATTTTTTCATGTTTTATGAATATAATGTAATAAATAGAGAAAAGTGTATGTTTGCCTCATTTTTGAAATTTAGAAGACATCATAGAAATTCTGGATTTCTGGAAAAAAAATCACCGATCTAGAATTTTTAATTGGGAACTTAGGATCATCGCAATTCAACGACTAGACTCTATTTCACGCTGTTTGTTCACACACCTGTGCTGCCGTGCTACGGAAGAACGACGTATGAACATTCGAGAGTTGCCAAATTTTCTGGGATAAAACATGTATTTTTGCCGAAATTCATGCATATTTTTCCTCGACATTTTCAAATATATTAGATTAGATTACGAACCAAATAGTCTGAAAAATTGGAAGAAAAATATTTACAATTTCCCTAATAAATTCGTATTTTATCAGAGGAAATTTGGCAACGCCGGAAGGTTCATACGGCGTTTTTTCTTAGCATGGCAACGTGTATATTTGTTTTTAGATGTTCGGTGGCTTCCTCATTTTCTGTGCTATGGCTCAGTTAGGGGGCACCGTTTCCGATCGACCGATTGTCGGTATAATGACGATGGACCTGGAACGATCTTTCAAAGTAGCTTATCCGGGTCATGATTCGTACATAGCCGCCTCGTACGTTAAAGCGGTCGAAGGAGCAGGCGCCAGGGCTGTCCCAATTTTCATCGGCCAAAGTGGAGCTTACTACAGGTATTCGTCATCATGTTTCATAAGACTTTTCCAATTCATGTGTTGCACAGTGAAAGTGTGGGTCTTGAGCACGGATAAAATGCTAATGGGCCTGTTGCAAACTTTTGCTAGAGCAAAACTAAGAGTTGTTTCTTATAGATAATACCTCAAAAATCACGATGAGCGCATCGGCAAAGTCTGAAATGCACTCATAACTTCACAATCTGCGTAAGAAATTTGCGGTTTTCTGAGCTTCCCGCTTCAAAAACGATACTACGGCACAGGTGAACATTTTCTCAGAGGAGTCGTTCCATTGGCGGCAATACTCATCATGGCCGACACCAATCCGCCAAAACACGTGTGATGGGACGAGACAACTCCTGAGCAGGACTAGACCAGATAACAATTGGCGTGTTTACGTTCATATTTCCCTCGCCCGCCTTGATTGACCTTGAACTCTCCTCGAATTACACGAGGAACTGCGCAAGCGTCGGCCATGATGAATATTGCCGACGATGGAGCGACTCCTGTAATAGAATGTTCACCTGTGCAGTAGTATCGTTTTTAAAGCGGGAAGCTCAAAAAAAAAACGCAAATTTCTCACGCAGATTGTGAATTTATGAGTGCATTTCAGACTTTGCCGATGCGCCCATCGTGATTTTTGAGGCATTATCTATAGGAAACAACTCTTAATTCTGTTCTAGCAAAAGTTTGCAACAGGCCCATTTGGACTCAGTTGGCTTAATAAGATTTGAATAAAGCGGGAAAGCTGTGCCATTCGGCGTGCGCTCAATCTTTGAGATCAGTGGCGTGGCGTGAATTGCGATAAATCGATCGTTATGCCATTTAAACCTATGGAATAGGATCGATAAACAGGGTGTTCGCAGCGCACACCTTTATAATCGATTCTTTTCCAAGTTTAAATTACATAACAATCAGTATATCGCAATTCACGCCATGCCACTGTTTGCGATCCAAAACAGTAGAGTACCTGTATACGGGAGAGTATTGCCATCTCTGTGCCGTTCTCTGATTGGTTCATCATTTTTAGGTTATCATGGAGCTCCAAAGTTGGACCAATGTAAACAAACCCGCCCCAAAGGCATACGTATTATCGGCTGAGAGATGAACGATAATCACACTCAAAGCTTAAGTTTCGGCAAAAATATCCATTAAAGGTCGATCCAAGCTCAATTCTGAAGTTGATCATAGAAAAATTTCTATCATTTAAAACTATAAAAAAGGATCGATAAACACGGTGTTCGCAATGAACACGTTAATAATTGATCTTTTACCATAGCTTCAAATAAGGAAACATCGATAATCGATCATTCACGCCTCACAACTAGGCAGAGGCGTAGGAAGGGGGGAGCAGGGGGGCCTTCCCCCCCAGAATTGGAAATAGTATCATCTGGCCCCCCTAGAGATTCTGGATGGTGCCAAAACACCTTCTTCAAAGGTAAGTCTCTGTCGCCGTGGCCGGTGAGAGGATGCCTATAAATAGAATAACCTGTTAAATGCAACAATTTCAAAGTATTTTAACCTTGAAATGCATAAAACTGGTTTAGGCAGAAATTTAAGGAAGATTAGCGCCACAAGTGCCTCGAGATGCGCTCAAATAGAGTTAAAATTTCAAAAATTTTCCGGGGGAGGCCCCCCGGACCCTCCATTGAGCTGGAGGGGTATTTCATATCCCCCAGACCCCCCGGTGGTGGGAGGCCAGGCCCCCCAGCAAAATGACCTAGCTACGCCTATGCCACTAGGGGAGTCTCTTGCAGAGGGATAGATAGGTGCAGATAGGTGCTTTTTTTGGATGAGCCAGAATTTTTAGTTCCTTGGTGCAAAAGATATAATGCATTTATAAGGCTCACATCGCAGTCGTCTGCTTAATCTTATATGACTGAAATAAATGTTAGTTCTGGCTGAAAATCTTTTGGAACCTGGCAAGTTTTAGTGAACGCTTAGTTAACTGTTAGCTTGTGAACGCCGGGAGAGCCTCCAAATACTGGCTATACTTCCTGCTTTATCGGGAGGTTAGTTTAGTTGCGTGACCCAACTGAACGCTTAGAACACCTTCAAATCTGGCGATACCTCCCGCTTTGCCGGGAGGTTAGTTTAGTTGCGTGACCCAACCGAATGCTTAGAACGCCTTCAAATCTAGCGATACCTCCCGCTTTATCGGTAGGTTAGTTTAGTTGCGTGACCCAACTGAAAACTTAGAACACCTTCAAATCTGGCGATACCTCCCGCTTTGCCGGGAGGTTAGTTTAGTTGCGTGACCCAACCGAATGCTTAGAACGCCTTCAAATCTAGCGATACCTCCCGTTTTATCGGTAGGTTAGTTTAGTTGCGTGACCCAACTGAACGCTTATAACGCCTTCAAATCTAGCGATACCTCCCGCTTTATCGGGAGGTTAGTTTAGTTGCGTGACCCAACTGAACGCTTATAACGCCTTCAAATCTGGCGATACCTCCCGCTTTGCCGGGAGGTTAGTTTAGTTGCGTGACCCAACCGAACGCATAGAACGCCTTCAAATGTGGCGATACTTCCCGCTTTATCGGGAGGTTAGTTTAGTTGCGTGACCCAACCGAACGCTTAGAACGCCTTCAAATCCAACGAACTACACCTCTAGAATGGTCGCGAGATAGCAAACCTGCGTAACGCGCAAGGGCCGGTTTTTGAAGGCAGGAGGGGGGTGGGAGCCCAAGTATAGCTAACCTCAATCTCCATTTCTGCTGCGTCTTGCCCATAAGGATTACATGTGAAAATTTCAACCTTTGTAAACTTTCATTTTTTTGAGGTTTTCTTTCAAAGTTCCTAATTTTTGAGTAAAGAAAACCTTTTGAAGTGCGATTGTTCAGCAATCTCTTCATTGCTATCACTTTATTCAACAATATTCGGCAAAATGTGGGCAGCGTCTGACATGGGTTTAGATGGCAGCCTGCTGTGTGAGCCCAAGTAAACCTAACCTATATCAACTTCAAAACGTTCCGGGTCTCTAACACTGGTCAGCCATTCTAGAGGTGTAGTTCGTTGTTCAAATCTGGCGATATCTCCCGCTTTGCCGAGAGGTTAGTTTAGTTGCGTGACCCAACCAAACGCTTTGAACGCCTTCAAATGTTCAAATCTGGCTATACTTCTCGTTCCTACGGGAGGTTAGTTTAGATGCGTGACCTAACTGAACGCAACACATTGTTAGTTTACTCATTTTACTGCACGCAGCAAGCTGATACCATCAAAAAAAGCATTACAAACAGTGTTTTCTTTTTCTTCTTTACCTTTTAATTTTTGCATTTTTCATGCGTCACTAATAGAAAGTAAATATTTCGGCAATTAGTAAACATGTAGTATGTTAGTATGTATTCAGTATGTTAGTCAACCATGCCTAACATATGCCTCTAAATAGTATAACCTGTTGAATGCAACAATTTCAAAGTATTTAAACCTTAAAATGCGTAAAACTGGGTGATTTTTAGGCAGAAATTGAAGGAAGATTAGCACCACAAGTGCCTCGAAATGCGCTCAAATAGAGGTAAAATTTCAAAAATTTCCCCGGACCCCCCATTGAGCTGGGGGATATTTCATACTCCCCAGAACCCCCCGGTGGTGGAGGGCCAGGCCCCCTCAGCAAAATGGCCTAGCTTCGCCTATGCCACTAGGGGAGTGAGTTAGATGGGGTGGCCGAAGGGGCTCCGGAAGCATGAGGTCGTAGATAGTATCGATATTTCCCCATTTGAAGCTGTGGTAAATAATCGATTATTAAGGTGTTCGCTGCGAACGACCTGTTTATCGATACTTTTCCATTGGTTTAAATGGTCGATCAATCGATATATCGCAAAGCACGCCACGCCACTGGTCGCAGAATAACCTCGGTCTTTCGGCGCTACTAAAAGACCAATCGCAAGAGCCGACAATGAGCAATGAGCGTAGACCACATGTTAAAAGCAGGAGTTTAGTTCCTCATCCATCAGGGAGCAAATATGTCTACATTTTACCATTTTCAAATTGCAATATTCCGTTGTTTTGTATCCATAGGAAAATGGCTGAATCTATAAATGGCCTTTTGATACCAGGAGGTGGGGCACGTTTCAACGGAACCGACAATTTTTTTGCGGCTAGTAAAATGATGTACGACTTAGCATTGAAGGTAATATGTATAATTCTTGTCGCGCTGATCACAGTTGAACATTACATAATGAAAGTGATTTAGGTACATGTTTCTCGCTTAAAATAAAAAATACAAGCTAACTGAGATATATCTTAATGGTATAACTTCGGAAACGGCACGGCGGCGGGGCGATTATTGAATTCGGGTGACAAAGCTCAATCGACTCTATGTCGTGTCGATTCGGTTAACGAAGAGCGATTTTTGAACTTCTCGGACCCGATACGACAAGAATTTTTTTTTTTTT